TGCTTCAAGGGTCTGTAGCTTAAGAAGATAAATGTATATTGGTCCAATAGATATGTTATTGTACAAAAAAAAGCATTTCTAAGGCGGTCAGTTGGAAACTTCTCTCAGACTTGACCCTCAGTCGTAAGAGAAGTACAATCTGTCAAGAAAAATGATTGCAAAATTATGTTTTGGATAAAGTCACCAAACTTTTCGAATGTTTTTACGAGATTTCACTGGTGATTCTATGTACATGCAGCTTTTGAAATGGTTCATTAATTTCATCTATTTAGATACAACTTTACTCCTTAGGTTTTTAGATGAACGGTTAAAAGTGAGACCATTATAAAATGTTTGACGAAATGGGACAAGCCTTTAATAAGAGTTGAATTTCTTTTCCATAAAAACATCTTTGGGTGAGTGGACATTTTGAGACTTGCTAGCACTTCACAGTAACGAGAGAGCAGGCAACGATTTAAGCATGTATTATCGTCACCTCCAAAAGGAAGTTTTAATACATGAAGTTGTGGTGATAGGTTATCTTAGGCATGCTTTCACAATGATGTGATCAGGCTAAAACCGCAGTTAAGTAGGAGCCTAACTGTCTAAAAGGAAACATTTTCACTCAAGACTTTAGAATATGTTATGCAGTTTCTAACGTGCATATAATATTACCAAACCTTACTGATCATCTACTGTGTAGCACATGCATCATGTTTTAGTCCTCCCTTTTCTTTTGCAACAACAATACATTTCTCTGTCTAAACAGAAACATGGATAATAAACCTACTCAAGGCCTGGTGACAGCAGGGAAAAACACAAGCCTAAACAGAGAAGCTAATGATACCCTTGACTGGCTGTAAACAAGAGCAATGTGTTGCTGAGACATCAGGAATTCAACCAGCCACTGACAGAGGACCTAAAATTAGCCTAATGTTTACCCCCTGGATAACAATGGCTAGAAACATAGTCCACTTGAAGTAGAACTCACAAGCACCAAGAGATATTAAGAGACAGTGTCACACAAAAATGTTTTGCTCCTTATTATAAGTGCAAAGTTATTTATTTTCATAAAAACATGTTACTCTAATGATAAGTCACAGTTTTATATATCAAAATAATATTTTTCAGATAACAATCAGTTTTAACAATCTAAATTCCCACGGCCAGACGGTAAGAGATTTGAGGGGGAAATTAATGAACTCCACAGAATCGAGAGTTTTTTAACACTGAGAGGGGGATGTACTTACTGAAAATATAGAGGAAAAAGGAGGGAGTGGGAATCTCAGGCAGAGAAACAGACGAAGGAGGATTATGAAAGCATGAAGTGCAAAACGCAGCAAGACTATAAGTGAGAAAATAAACAAGCAGTGGGCTGCCAAGCACTGGCTCTGCAGAGGTACTTCCCCTTATGTGCACAGCTGGATTTATGAGACAGTGAGCAATACTCCCCTCACTTCTCCCAGACTCTGACACAAGCAGGGGAATTTAGCAGCTCCATGCTAGTCTTCTTCAAAAATAGCAATGGATAACTACCCAGTAGTAGCTACAGAAAAGTTTGCACATTTCCAGCTAGCCCTATTGGCATGTCTGTGTTGTGTTTACCATCATCTAATAACCCAGTGCAAACATGCCAATAGAAATTACTTTTAAAGGAATCATCATACAAGGTCAATGGTTTGATTAGTAGCAATTACCAAAGGCTGTGGAGATGACAGAATTATAGTCATATTCGTTTATTTCAAAACACATTAAAAAAAACAAAAAACAAAAAAAAACGGATGCTGCACAGTAGCTGAGCATGGGCCTTATGTAGGTACTGGATCCCTGTTTGGCTTCTTCCTTTTAGGTCAGGGGTGGGCAACTCCAGGCCTTGAAGGCCGGTGTCCCTGCAGGTTTTAGATGTGTCCTTGAACCAACACAGCTGATTTAAATGGCTAAATTAGCTCCTCAACATGTCCTGAAGTTCTCCAGAGGCCTGGTAACGAACTAATCATGTGATTCAGGTGTGATGACCCAAGGTGAGATCTGAAACCTGCAGGACACCGGTCCTCGAGGCCTGGAATTGCCCACCCCAGTTTTAGGTCCTTCTCCTTGGCCTCCTCCATTACCTTTTTTTAATGTATTAGGTGTGATTGCGTTGATTGCATCCTATGTTTGGATCAAACAAAATTAATTCATCCGGTGTGTTTTGGCAAATTGTTGCTGGGTTCTGTAATCATTTTTAAATTAAAAACAATAAAGCAGCACAAAAGCCAAATGGGTGCCTTGAAATTGAGAGATGATTACTCAGTTGGTTAAATATTTTTAAACAGAAAATATATTTTTGAATGTCACATACATAAACTGGGACAGTGATATCTGCTGTTAAGTACAAATTAGATCTTGAATTGTTGAATGCCCCAGAAAGAACAACGCTACACTACAGTGAAAAGTTTAATGATAAAGTTTTCCTACTAGTTTAGCCAGGCAAAACCATGATGATATGCACTATACAATGTGATTTACTGTCCACGAGAGACCCTAGGGTCAGAATGATATAAATTTAATCATCAGAGAGTGTATCTGTAGCTGCGTAGATGTAACCGCGCTGCCAAATTTGCTGTGGCCGTTCAGGCACGTTGTCACAATGAGGCACCCTTTTGCCATTTTGCCACAGTGCGAGTCGTTTGGCCTAATATTTTCCTTTAGTTGCCTCAGGAAGTAACAGTAAAACTAGGCTCCAATAGTTTGACCCTGGGGGATGAAATGCACAACCCTGTAAACAAGGAGCATGCCCCCGACTGCGCTCCTGACCCAACAAACCCTCTTCATCTCAGAGCCATGGGCTCTGATAACAGTGGCACAGTGGAAAATTAGTACACTGACCATAATACTTCACAGCATGCCCTGGCACCTGTGAAGCTCAGCCCACATATCAAGGCATTTGCTTGTCTCAAACTGCTCTGTAGCTATAACAGCTGTTTGGTAGTAGACATTCCATGCTCTACCTGGCTAGGTAATAATAATATTACTAATAATAATAAACTTTATTTGTACAGAACTTGTGTAACACACAGTTACAAACATAGTAGGTAAACCTCCTGTATGTGTAAGTGTGTGATTTTGCACACTAAAAAACTGAATGTAACGTTGTGATTATAAGATATTATATATATATATATATATATATATATAAGATAGAAAATAACATAAAAAGAGAAAATATTAGACTATCCAAACACAGGAAATTAGATTGGTGTAATTATTCGCTGAGATAGAGCTCCTAACTGTTTAATCAGCTTAACAATGTAAATATGAAAATTTCTACTTTTGCCATGTTTAACATACATTTTCATTTGTTTACAACTAAGTTGGCTGTTATAAATTTATGTCAAAAAAGAAAAAACATACTACAGACATTCACTCAAAAGTATGCTAATTATACAGAGTAGACTGTACAGTGTGCTCTATGGGTAATTAGCTGCAACACTTCTGTTTGGAAGAAACAGCCAATGAGAAGAAAGCTGGTTTTAAGTGACAATGCCATTAAAAAAGCAAGCAAATGGGTTTCAGACAGAGCACAAATTGAGAAACTGCACCAAGGGCAGTATAGTATGATGAAATATTATTTTGAACTGTAACTCAAGCTCCTCAAGTAGGGTCCAGTATTAAAAAGCTAAAGTTAAAAAAGTTTAAACTTTAAACACTACCCATACTTTTATTCTGTTCATCTGCACACAGCGATTTCAGTGGGAGAAACATTTTATCACTCATCCAAGTGACCTAAGAAGTGATGAAACTTTTCTCCCACTGAAAATGCTACCATGCTGACAGAATCAACGTTTTGGGATTTCCTTACTTGGCTGATTGAGCACAGATCAAGACAACTTTAAACACTGCAGCTGCCATTGCCATAACTGAAAAAATAGAGCCTTTATAAACATTATCAGGATTTTTGCAGATTAGTGCAGTACAGTGATTCTTTACCATCATTACCCATTCTTTGCTCCAAGCCAGCGATCTTTGGGAAGACATAAGCAGCTTTTGTCGCTTGTATTTTAGTTTCTGAGAAATCTTTTAATGTTTGGGCGACAGAAATTTTAAACTTTCTGGTTTAATTGTGAAACCTTTAAGAATACATGTGCTGTAAAGCGCTCTTTCTGTAAAGTTACCCCATGACAGTAAGTCTGACCAAGTATTCATTTGTATCTTTCAAAATCCTTTGGGATTTACTGGAACTTACAGCGATGATGCAATTTTGTGGTGCTTTTATTAATATGCAAAACAAACAACCACACCTCATCTGAAACTACACAAGGCTGATGCAATCTGTCCTTGAAAACCAGTTCTCCTGCTAGGCTCAAAACCGTTCGCAGCTGTCCACATACTGTGTTGACATTGTATGGTTAAAAAAGAAAAAATGACTTCTTGGAACCATTTTCAAAGAGGAAAATTAATGACAATTAAACAAAACATGACTGAACAAATACCAAGAATGTCCAGGTAAATTTCCAGGAAGAAGAGCATTCACATGAATCTAATAAAACTTTAAATTAATTTTGTCCATCTAAAAAGAAGTACTCTCTTTATGAAAAAGGGCACATTATAAACATGGACAGTGCATTTTCATTTGTTCAGACTAGCTTTCCAGTGAAAAACAGATTCACAGATTTGATCAGATGTACAGATAAACAGCAAGTCAAAACAATTATAAGAAGTGTAATCACTACAACAGCTAAGGCTCAAGATCCACAGAAAATGCATAGTGTTTGTTTGCTTTTCTAAAATTTAGATGTACTATGAACTAAACCTCTCCTGGCCACTTCAGTCAATAAGGTTGTGACCATCCACCATTTGAAGAAAATGGGTCCTATATTTGACATGCAGAATTAATAAAAATGAATCAGAGGTGGATTTAGCAAACGCATGTTGTGGTGTGGAGCAGATGTGGTGATAAAGACTGTACTCACTGGAAAATTATATATATAAAAAAACCCTTTCCCTCTATTAAACATTTCACATTCTTCCATTCTACTCACTGGTAGTTCAGAGGGTTCAGGGAGAAACTCAGCATCTTCTCCAAAAATAAAATCTGGAGGCAATTCTGGATAGCGTGCATTGAAAATGATATCCCCTGGAAGAAAAGAGAAGAACGCGTTATTACTCGCTTTATTACAACAAATCTGAAATGTTTGCTTGTATTGCAGTAAGTGTTGTAAACAGCCACAATTTACCAAGGAAGTGAGTGAGCTTTGATCACATATAAGATCATTTCCATTCAGTTTTAATCAAAGTTGACTTGCTCTAAACAAATAATTAAAAAAGAAAAAAAAATGCATCAATCTTCTATATTCTGTCTGGTATTAAGAAATGAAAGTATTTTTGAAGCATTACTGAAACCAGGAAATTGTGGTGGTTGTGTGGTTTTACTAGTTGCACTAAGCACACAAAGTGCATTTAAGCTCTAGCGTCTTGTAGTTTAAGTGCCTTAAATAAGAACATTTCACATGCACCCTTGCAACCATTAAAAACCTTGGCACACCAGCACATTAGCAAAAGTTTTAAGATTATGCATTTTAATTGCATATTTAATTTAAATCCCATATCATGTACCCCATATGGTAAACCACACACTAAAAAAAACTTCAGGCAATACATCATCTTAAGTTGGTTTTTTTTTCGGCTGAATGACACATCCCATATTAAAAATAGCAATTACTTGTAATAATAACTCTATATTAAACATGTTTTGGTGAGTGATTAGCAACCTGCAACCCTGAGGCTAAAATATACAGTTCCCTTAATTCCTATGGGGACTGACTTTAAAAATGAGCCAATCCCTAGAAACTCTCATGTTAAAATGTTCAATTTTACAGGACAAATAAGAATAAACATCTTCACAGCCTGCTGCAAAACACTATTTTAAACTTTATGGTTAGTTTACCCATTTATATGGGATTTTCCTTAAACTTAAAATTGGGGCATAGCAGCTTTGATTGACAGGTGTGTTGGTATGGCCAGCTGTAGTGGATAGCTTTTGTGTTTGAGCCTTCAAATAATTTTAATGCAACTATCTGAAAGCAGTTTACTCTTCTGGCACGTGTAGTAACACATCATTAATGTAGTTGGTATTTCAGTTTTGGTGAGTGGCATTCTTCTTCTATACATGTTCTTTGGTGATTACCACTCTTAATGAGCAAAGGCAAGGCAACTTTCAAATGTACAGTAAGAAGAGAATCACTCTGCACACTCCTGTCCTATTACAATGATTAACTCAGATACCCACTGCACTCATTGTGTCACAGCTTTGCTATTCTACCGTGAAGCTACAGAAAACACCTACAAGTATGCAATTAACCTTTAGACACATGAACTTAAAAAAAAAAAAAAACAACTTTAAATATTACTCATATAACCAGTAGAATAAATGTAGGTGCACACAACAGCAATAAATTCTAGATTTAAAAAATGATTATTTTTGCTTAAAGTAAAAAGGGAGAAAAACAAAATATTTCAGTAAAAAACATTATGTTTCATTTTTCTGAACTAATAGCGTTATATTCATCTTCTTTTGCCTGCTCCATTTCTAACTTTGCATGCAAACTTGCTCCACCCGAGCTGACGTCCATCTGACATACAAATCTTGCTGTTTCTCCTGGTAACTCCAAATGAAACTCTAAGCATCTTCATCTCTTCCAGCTTCCTGTCTTTTTGGCTACGTTCACACTGCAGGTCTTAATGCCCAATTCCGATTTTTTGATCAAATCCGATTTTTTTGTCTGCTCGTTCACACTACAAATAAAATGCGACAGCAAACGCACTCTAGTGTGAACCCTCAAAGCGGCCCGCATGCGCAAAAGAAGACTTCACACACAACGTGCTCTGTTTAGACCCAGACCAAACAGTATTGTTTGACTGATGGCCCTTAATATACAGACTTCGGACTTTACGTTTCCCAATTTTTGCTTTAAGTTATTTTGTTATTTACATAATAATGTAAATAACCTAATAATTATCCTTATTGCTGTTTTAGAGAGGAGCGGTGCTTCAAAGGATAGTTGCAGATTTCTGTCAGAATCTGCAGATTATACAGTACAAATAAAATGTTCACGTTGTCTTCCCAACAGTTTCACTGACATCTACACTGGATGGCCAGGAAGCATTCGCGATGTCTTCTCGGGCGCTTCTCCGGCGCTGATAATTGGCGTCTGTCGTGTGTCACTGACGTAAAAGACGGATTTAATGCGACATGACCGTTCAAACAGCAGTCGCTTTCTAAAACATCAGATATGTATCGGATTCAGGACCACATACGAAAGTCACCCAGATCGGATTTGAAAATATCGGATTTGTGCCGTTCACACTGACATACCATGATCGCATATGGGTCGCATAGGGTAAAAAAAAATCGGATTTGATGCGCTTTCGCCTGCAGTGTTCGTGGCAGTGTGTCACTGCCACGAACTCCAAACCATACATCACTGCAAGTTTTGCTTCTGTCTTGTAAAGCTTCCCTTTCAGTCTTGCAGCAATCCTTCTGTCACTCTGTCCACACCACCCTGCCTGTACTCTTCTTCACCTCTCATGGCCTGACCACTGCTTTGGATGGTTGACCCCACATATTTACTGCAAACTACATTACCATATTCAGACTCTTTGGGTTCATTATGCCTTATACATGTACTCGCCCATTTTCTGTTTAATAACTTTATTTAAAATTATTACTAACATATTGAGATAAAATTATAAAAATATAAGCACACACTGGAAATGGCCCTCACTGAGGGCTCACATAACAAAGCTTGGTTCACAATGTTCTTAAATTACGTTACACAACTCTATTTCTGTGCTGCAAGATGTCCTGTTCTGCTTTTTTTTTTTTTTTTGTTCCACGCAGCAACAGCAAGAAGAGGCAAACACACACATGTGGAAGTATTTTTCCAGTGGAGAAGAGTCAAACGAGGAAACGAGAGGTTGTGTCGTAAACCAGCTCCAAACCACTGGAAGCTTGACAGAAAAACTGCTGGCGTGGTTCCAGAGGGAAATGGAGGTCTTGGAAGAGCAGACTTCACAGGTTATAGAGGCTTTTGTATGATGTTTTCTTCATACATCCTTAGACAGCAAGAAGAAGCTTCACTCAAACGTGACTGCATAATGCACCTTCTCTCCAAATCTTATTCAGACAGACGTTTTATTGAAGTCAGAAGGGTACAATGTGTACAACTACAAAGCAGTACCAGCCATGTCGGTCACGTGGAAGAGGCTGGGTTTATATTGATAGTGATTAGCTGTGTACAGAGTGTGCCATGCCAAGCAGATCCATAGACCAATCTGCAGCTCTGCATCCTTGATTAGACAAACCTCTTTCCTGAGGCCAAAGCACAGGAAAGTATAACAGCTGCGTGCCACGCCAGAATACCCGTGCCAGTTTTCTTGTTCTTTGTTCAGATTGCTGCTTTCTGTCTCCATTAATTTCTGTTTAACTTTAAATACAGTTCAAACAAAAATGAAATATAAATGAACAAAGTGGTGAAGGTGTTAGGGGACACGGGGTCATCCATGAGAGAATAAGGTCGAGTTGAACTATGGCAAATACTGGTCACTCTACATTCCTGTCATCACCTATGGCCGCCAACTGTGGCTAGTGGAAAAAAAAAACATGATGACTGAAGATATAATCAAAGGAAAAAGGAGCTTCCTATTGACGAGCTCAGTCATGTAGGAAGACCTCAAAACAGAGGAGCTGCTGCTCCTCCATACTGAAAGACGTCAACTGGTGGTTCTGATAGGATGCCCTCTGGATGCCTCCTTAGTGACATGCATCAGGCATGTGCATTTCATGGGAGACTGAGCCAGACCAGAGACACAGTGGTGACATAACGTCTCTCAGCTGATTTGTGAATGCTTTGCTGTCCGCTCAAAAATGTATTTTTTTCACAACATAGTCATTTTTTCCTTCATTTTCATACTATAAGTTTCATTTTTACACACATTTTTACTTTAGGAGGTTCAAGAAGGAGTTTGGGTTTAAATAAAACCTTTCATACATTTCAAGTCATGCACATAATCACCAGAGGGTTACTTCATCAATCAATCAGTGATTACTCTGTTATGGCGAATTGGGTCCATGGCACAGCATTTTGGGGGAATTCTGGTGAAAAAATGTTTTGTGGACTAACGAAGCTGACATTAAATAACCTGGGAAGGAAGCCAACAACATGTATGATCTAAACATATCACTACATACCGCTATGAAAACATCATTATGACAGCAAAGTATGGTTCCAGGCTGCTTAGCTGGCTCTGGATATCGTTAACTCCCCACCATCAGCTAGAAAACTAATCCCCAGATATCTGACATTTATGCCAGAAATCATCATAGAAAGGGGACCTCTTCTGCTTATTTCTAGCCCCACAGTTTTATTCCTTACTCCACTAGAGTAGCTTTGCATGAGTCCTAGTTCAAAATAATCATTATTTCATACTGGGCATTCGCACGGCCACTTAGTTTGTCTGAAAGGAATAACCCCATCTTTATGACATCATACAGAACCGAGTGCGGAGAAAACAGTCTAAACAGTCTGTCTAGAACAGTTTAAACACAGTGTTTAATGCACAGGTTACTTGTATATACTCTGACCTGATTATCTTTAACTTTGGACATGTTTAATTTGAGCAACCAACACTGGAACCGAATAAATATCAGAGAAAATAAGGAAAAGAAAGGGCTCATTTAGTTTTTTTTCCACCTGCACTGTGACTGTTTAAACTTTCAAGCAACAGAGTAGGGTTATTTAAGAGCTGAGCTGTATATATGTGCCTTTCTGATAATTGCAAAAAATGTTTTCTACAAGGAACTTGTCAATCTGCTGCTCCTACAGCTTTTAACTTTTTTTTTTACCTCTGAAATATATGTATGTTTTTAACTTGTGATTCTCGTTACAACATGTTTTGCAGTGAACCACATCTAACAGAGCTAGAATAGCAAGATATATAGCTGCACAAGCCTCGGGGCTAACCCTGACTTTTCTGAATAAAAATGATTAAAAATCATAATTAATGACATTTCAGCATTTCAGAATATTAGACTATACAAACAAAACAGTCTAGGTATAACAAACATAGGCATTAAAA